CAAAACACTTAAAGTAAAGTCTTTTTTCATTAAATCCACTTTTATATGATGAAAGTTATAGTACTGCCACCATTACCCAAAGCGAAGGTTGACCGGTCAGATTTACATTTCTTGTGTGTGCATGGGAGCACCTGTGTGTGTACATCGTCCTACATACCCACACCTACATTTACCCACTCATTTACTTATTAACACACCAAGCGCGCGCGCGCGCGCGCGCGCGCACACACACACACACACACACACACACACACACACACGCACACACATCACACATAAAAGAAATGTAAATCCGATCGGACAACCTTCTCGCAATATTTTAGATAATGTTAATATTGGCAGTACTGTAACTTCAAGCCTTATAACTCAAAAAATAATAATAAAAGACTTAATAAAAACTATTTTGAAAAGTTTTCGAGACTATAGTTAGAAAAATATGCAATAAAAGATGATTTCCATTTAAAAATTTCAATGTGATTTTTATATAATTTTAACAATTATCCAAGGCCATATTAATATTGCAATGTAATGCGTCTTTTAAAAGCATATAACTTTTATATAAGGCATTTTTTCGAAAATGTTTAGTTTTTAAAATATTAAGGTGGTTCCACATTTTTTGGTAACCCTAGATAGAGCACTTATTTTATTTTTGAGAGTCAAATATCTGGAAATTCCGTAGTGTTAGAAAAAAATATATAAGACAAAAATTGTAAAGTTCGGAGGCGACTACATGATTGTCATATTTGATTTATCTGTAAATGAAGTCATTGTCGACATTTCTTTAAGATCCAATTTTTTAAAAAATAAAGTTATATATTTTTGTTAATATGATCTCTAGATTCTAGATATAAAAATATTAAGATACTAAGATAGAAAATATTAAGATTTATCAAAATGTCAATACTCTTATAAGATATTTTTTTTGAATTTTATTCTAGTATATTTTAACATAAAAGATAAAATATCTTGTAAACTATTTATTTTTTTCATAACTATACTTTAATATTTTAAGTATAGAATTATAAGACAAATAGATATGAAAAAGATACAAAAAAATTATATAATTAATTGTATGCAAATATCCGACTTTTTTTTAACTTTTTTTTACTATCTTTCTTTACATAAATCAATTGTCACATTATTCTGTATATAAAAGTATTAAGATGCAATTATGATTAATAACTAGGTTTCACGATATTTTGTGTTTTATATAAAAATGTATTAGAATAAAATAGAAAGTATAAAACATCTCGTAAATTATTTACTTTCTAATAATTATACCTTAATACTATTATACTCGTAGCATAATTAGAAAAAATCATAAAAAGAAATATAATATAAAAGGGAATATAATTCTATTAAAAAAATAGCGATCATAAAAGATGTTGATAGTAACTGCAATGTGAATAAATCAACATCATAATCTTATGATCCTTACCAAATCCTATAATCCTTTTATCTAATACATTTTTTTAAACCTCGCGATGTTCAAATGTTTGACTGTCAAAAATAAAATGAGACACTTTGTGTGGATAGGTGCAGCAATGCAGCAAGGTGCAGCGAGTTATATAATGGACGGCATTGCAAAAATTTAAAGTGATGTTTTTGACATGTATTTTGTAAATGATTTAATCTTTTTAGATTGGTATAATGATGTGGGATTTAGGGCT